TTGAACTTTTTTGGATTTTTTTTTTACCTGGATTATTGAGCATGCATCAGGATGTTTCTTTATTGTCATTCCCATCATATATGGTACATGTGGTGGAATGAAATTGTGTCCCAGTTACATCCAACAAAAGTATAAATTGTAAAGAAAAACAGTAGTAAGATCTACGAAATGAACTAAGAAATAAGCTAAACTAAGAATACGCTTAACACTAATAGTGCAAAAACAATATGCCGAACCACTGCAGCACGAACATGAGTCTGTGTGAGCAGATGAGTACAAATGAAACACTGCAGCATGAAATAAATCAGCAGCATGAGATTAGCAGCCTGGATAGTCAGCAGCACATATCAATAATCAAGTGGCATCACAGTGATTTTTTTTTATTAGGGATTCATGAGTCTAACAGCTTCAGGGTAGAAGCTGTTCCTCAGTCTAGTGGTTCTGCACTTAATGCTCCTCAACCTCCTGCCTGAGGGGAGCGGGGCAAAAAGCGAATGTGCTGGGTGAGTGGGGTCCTTCATGATGCTGATGGCCCTCTTCCTGCATCTGCAGGTGTATGTCTGTGATGGGGGATGTGTAGATATTGGGTGGGGGGGTTAGACTCCCACATCAGCTTAACACCTCTCACCATGGGTGACTTCAGAGTGGAATAAGGTCCAGCCGCTTTCAAGAAATTTGGTTCCAGAGTCCATGCTGTGCATCAAGGTGAGCCCAACTATATATATTTGGTACCTGTCAACCTCATGCAAAAGCTCAGGCTCCTTCCTCACCAGAAGTGTGACGTTCCATGCTCCAAGGGCCAGCTTTGGTAAGTCAGGGTCAGGGCCCCGCCTTCAGCTACCACCCATAGCACTGCGCACCCAGCTCATACGGTCCCTCCTTTAGGTGATGGGCCCACAGGAAGGTTAAAATCAACATTTTTATAATTAAACAAACTATTTACTTGACTAATGATGAGTTAACGAGAAAAAGTGAAAAGTGCTTCCAAAGATGCTTCCAAACAAAATGTTATTTTTTCTTTAGAGATTAATTTTGAAATATTATTCAATAATTTAAAAGGTTTTGATGACTTTGAAAATAATCTTTATTGTCAGGGAAAAGATTGCAGCTTCAATAAAATCAACTGCCCAAATGGTTGCTCTTTTCACACCAGCAGCAAGTAAAGTGACATTTGCATTTAGATACGTGGGCAAGGCCTCAGGAAAGAATGTTACATATTGTTTCCACTACATGGTGTTTGTGCATTAGTGCAAAATGTAGGTAAAATAGACTGTCAGTAAAAACAGTTTGTTTTCAGTTATACATAAAATAATATCATACATGGATTAAAAGAAAAAAAAATCTCATTACAGAAAGGTGTTGCAAAAGCAATAGCTAATGGTTACATACACATAAAAACAAAGTACTTAGTTAAAACCTTCAACATTAATGTTGATAAATGATGTATGACAAAATGGAGTATATATCTAAAGAACAGTACCTCTACAGTTTAAAAATCACGTGACTCAGTCATAGATAGTTTTTAAAACTGACTTGGGTCACATAAAGGCAAGAGTCACTGCAGTGCAATGTCATTGCATTGTTTGTCTCAGTGAAGAGCTTTATCCTATTATATTTTTATCCTAGTCAAACTGTTCTTTCCTAGAACAATAGTAATCACATTTAAATGGAATTGTGGGTGTTATTGATTGGTTTGAATAATAATAATAATATAAATATATTTCTATGGCTTTCAGAGTCTCCTCTAAATCATAAATGGAGCAATATCCTAAAAGAAGAATGCCTAATTTATCAAGAGGAGCTCTATAGACTTGAAGAATCAATACCAAAAACCACTGAACCTGTTAATAAGTTGTGTTCGAACACATTACTAAAGTGTTTTTTCTTAAACAAACAAACAAAAAAACTCCCATATTCATCTAAATATTATAGCATTTTTATCCATTTTATTTTGATGCACCATGCATTGATAAATTTTAATTTTAATAAATTATTTTAATGCATTAAAATATATTAGAGTGACAATAATTAACCAGTCCTATTTCTTGAACCTGTTAAAATGGCTGGAACAGATGGTGGCCACTCAGAACCTCTTTCTGTAAGAATGGGAGCGACTTTATCTAATATTACTATAATATTACTAATATTTCTGAAAAACAAGAGAAGACAGATTCAGTGATTCCGCTGATGCAGATGTAGCAAATCCTCAAATAGAAAGTCATACTGGAGACATTTACCCATAAATGCCCATTCTCACCTGCTTCGGATGTTATCAGCCATTAAATGGCCGTTATTAGTTGTTATCATCCCTATATGTAGCGGTCAAACCGTCCCACCTACCTCCTAGTAGGTTTAAAGGTACGTTATTATCGTTATTATTGCTGATAATAGGCAGCGTCACACGGAGGTAAACCAGGAAGTGTCTTTTTAGTTGTTTTCAGCTTATGTAACCCTTTTCCTAAATGTAAGCTTGCACCTGACCCTGAGGACAAACCCTAAACTTAACCCCCTTACCCTTGTGCCTAAACCTAACCAAGACCATAAACCTAACCGCCAGACCCTTTACTCTAAACCTAACCACGTGAAGCTATTATGAGCGCTAACAAAGCTAAAAACAGAGCCTATTATCATCGCTAACAACGCTAACATCGTACCTTTAAACCCACTGGGAGGTACAGGAGGTGCAGTCTGACCGCTACATGTGGGATGATAACAACTAATAACGGCCATTTAATGGCTGATAAATGTCTCCAGTATGACTTTCTGTTTGAGGCTTTGCTACATCTGCATCAGCTGAATCACTGAATCTGTCTTCTCTTGTTTTTCAGAAATATTAGAAAAAAGAGACTGATAATTATTGCACTGGACTACGTATCATACTAAAAGGAATTTTCTGACGTGTAAAATTATCTTTTTTTTTTTATGTCAGTTTTCAACAAATTATTTAAAGTCAGTGCCTTAAGTTATCCATTCCTGGATGGCTCCTCTGTTCAAAAAGATTATTCACTGGCAGTAGAAGGTGAGGACGTTCTGTTGGTTTCCTCGTATTAACACTGCGGGGCAGTAGAGACCAAAAGTCAGAGTGTCCAGCCAGGCCATGTACAGAGCACTGGGACAGTCACTCTGTGGTACTGGAAGGCTCCTGGAAAGAAAAATTAAAACACATTTACATGAACAGAAATTACAACAGGAAGTAGTTTTTTTTTTATGGAAATTGAAAGAGTAAAGATTGTTATTTTATAAACAACCATACCACTCTATGCACTAAAGTGCTTCACCATATCAAAATTCATCCCCTTTTCATGTGTATCTACTAAATTCAATGGTACAATTACAACATTCTGTTTGAACAATTGGTTGGTTGTAAATTGAATGAAGTCGTTTTGATCTTGAGACATATGAACATTTTTAGACAAAATACACAGTGTACTCACACAAGAACAAGAGCAGTATTTTGTGAATTCTTGCGGATGATTTCATTCAGCCTCACTTTACTCTGTGACTATAAAAGAGAAAAACAACTTGTGTCAAAGTCACTTCCAAGAGAAAAAAAAAACATGTAGTGTAAATGCATATTCAGACAGACTTTCAACAGACTGTTTCATCAATTACCATTTAGCTCCACATGTTAAATGACCAAACACACACCTTAAGTTTGAAGGCTTCAAACTCTTTGTCAGATATTTTCCAAGGAGCATTTTGTCTCAGTTCCTGCACCGAGACGCCTTCCTGCTGCTCATCAAACAGCCGGAAGGGGGCGACACTGTCCACAAACCTGCTCAGGCTGCAAAGCCACCAGAACAGAAACAGGCACAAATTAGTTTGTTCTGGAAAATTGCTTTGGTAATATAAGGGCTGGAAAATATTTTTCAAAAGAGAAATGCAGTCTGCAGGTAAAACCTCTAAAAATGGTGAGATTGACACTCTTTATGCTGACATCAACAAAAAATAAACAAAGGTGTATCATTAATTAAATAAAATAATTTCCATAATAGTTGCAAGTGCTGTTTGTGTTGATGTTAGTTTTTTTTTTTGTTGTCCTTATTCGCTTGTGAACAAAAATGCAATACCTAAACCAATTACAGTGGAGATTTCACTATTCTGACATATTTTTGTGGGTTAAAAGCTGAAAAGTTTAATGTCAACAGTGACGATATTTTCAGTGGCTGCTGTTTTCATTTTGAACACAAGATGGCAGTGTTCGTTTCACAGTGATCCTTTAAAATACTCACACAAACATCACAAAAAAAGTTAAATCACGTCAGCTGGACAAATTATTCTTGGAAGAAACGTTTCATCTTTCATCTGAAAGACTTTGTCAGTCTGAGGCCTGCCACCAAAATATGTCTTATAAATAGTACATTACTGACATCTTTCAAGCCAGCCTTCAGTGGAATTCCCAGAAACTGACTTACACATGCAAAAAAGGTGTTTATTTTTTTAATCTGGTATTTTTTTAAACAATTGAATCACCCTTTAGAGAAAATTGTTTTTGGAGTACTTATTTATTCTTTTATTGTCAGCCGTGTATATAAATGAGCAAAGATCTTTCATATTTACCTCTTGGTGTGAGGGCGTTTCTCAATGTCTGTCATGACTATAACGTCACTCACGTCCAGACGGAACCTCTGCAGCAGAGTGGTCATCCTGGAAAAAAAGTCAAAACTTCAGTATTCATATTCAACTTTTCAAACCACAGGTATTAAACGCTAATACACTAAACAGTCTGGTGTCTACATTTACCGTAGTTTAATCATTTCCAAACCGAGCTATCCACAACAAAATACGAAGTTTAACACTGACTACTTTTTAAATGAAAACAGATCAAATTGTATTTAACTTTGCATTTTCTTAAGCTTCACCCTTATATATATACATATATATATATATATATATATATATATATATATATATATATATATATATATATATATATATTTGGGAATGAGAATTGTATTTGTTTTTATTGGGTTGTTTGATTGATTTTTGTTTTGCAACAAGAATTCAAATTATAAATTGGTGAAAAACATTTCTGAACATAATCTGAAAGCTAAAGCACAAAAACACAGTACAAACACTTTATTTTAATTTATTTTGAAATTTACTGGCAACATTTGAAAATTAAAAAAATCATACTCATTCCGGCTCTCCTCCATGTTCTCTTCATCTCCCACAATGAATACTCTGACTTTACATCTGTGCCAGCGTTTTCTCCTGGAGAACAGGTAAGGTACCAGCAATGTCAATCCTTAAAAGAAAGAAATACTTGTAAATAATGGTAACCTGTTTTTTCATATAAATACTGAACGGGGGGGGGGGGGGGGGTGTTATTTTGTTTTTGCAACTGAACAATTACAAGACTTAGGCCCTGTTTACATGAAGCGTTTTTTTGAGTGAAGTCAGTTTTTCTGCTGGCCGTTTGTGTATATGACAACAGTCACCATTCTGTTTGAAACTGAAGGTTTTCTTTAATTAATTTCTCATAATGGAGATCAAAGTGGAAGTGTGAAATACTCCGTAGGTGGCTGCAGTCAAGGATTTTTCTGCACTAACAGCAGTTAAACAAATAACACAAAGCAGAGCATTTTTTGTCCTACTCTCCCTTTTTCTTTTTATTTAGGAGCAAGCTAACAACATCCTAGGTCAGAAGGGACATTGTGTATCTACCAGTTTTGACATAAATGCGATCATGCAGACACTGCATGCAAAATGCATGCAACTGAGCGCTGATGCGTCCATAGTTCATTATTTCTCGTGTGGCAACCCTGCCTAGTATGCAAATTACAGTTCCCATGTAAGCCTGCAATTTTTTTGTTTGTTTGTTTATGCCTCCCAGGAAACATAAAAAATCCACTAACATTTTTAGAGATCATTCACGTGTAAACAGCGCATTAAAGTAAGAACGTAAACCTCATTCTAAAAACAGCTAATTGACTAACGATATCTTTCATTCCTCTTTATGTACTGTATGTATGCATGTGTGTATATGTTTGTATGTACTGTATTCAGTTCAATTCAATTCAATTCAAAAATACTTTATTAATCCCAAAGGGAAAGTAATTGTTGTTGTAGATCATCTTGCTTTCACTAGAGTTGTTCTAAATGCTGATGGCTCTGGGCAGGAAGGATCTCTTTTAGCAGTCCGTCCCATAGCGGATCCAAAGAAACTGGGTGCCGATGCCAATCCATCCACCCAGACCCAGCAGACCTCTTGGTCCTCTTGGGCAGCAAGACTGCCTAAATGCTGGGTAGAACTCCTCCCTGAGCAATGGCTATTACTCCCAGCAGCCTGCTGAGCCCCTCATTGCTGCAGACTTAACTGCAGGTGTTGGGGGATGCTCTCGGTCCTCCCTCTGTCATGAGTCGCGTTTCTTGCTACCCCTAAGATCTCAGGCATTTGAGCACCGCCTCCAGGTAGATGGTAATGCATCCATGGCACCTCCTTTTCAACTCATTTGGGGCTGTAGTTGAGATATTATTTGAGCCTTTGAGATGTTAATCAGCTGCTCCCGGATGTAAAAACCACCATGTCGTCATGGTTACGCGTCATAACAAGTGTCTAAAAATAAAAAATAATTTCAGTAAAAATCCTTCCAGCTGCACAGCATCCAATACCAGAGGAAGTAATCATCCAAAAAAATGCAATTTACATCCAGAAAAAAGAGGAATTTAAGTTTTCAAAAGCAAAATCTCAGAATGAAAGTAAGAGAGATACTCCAACATGCAGCCACCTTGAGTGGTGCAATTCTGGAATGTATGTATGTATGTATGTACATATGTATAATAATAATAAATAATGTCATCACAATGTCAGCACTGTATGTTTCCATACAATGGCGAAATTAGTCTCTGCATTTAACCCATCCACCACCAGGTGGTGCAGTGGGCAGCTATTGAAAGCGCCCGGGAGGCATTTTGGTATGTATGTATGTATGTACATATGTATGTACGTTTGGCACTCACCTCCATCATCTGCGATCCAATAGACGTCGATGGTCTTCTTGCCCTGGTCACTTTGAAACACTGTCGTGGTCTGATCAAGGTCCCCTTCATCAGACATGTCATCAGCTACAAACACAGGTGAAGTTGAAACATTAGAACGTTTGAAAGAATTAGAAAGAAAATAAATTCCCCACAAAATGCAAGAGTTTAATAACAAAGTAAGTTGGTGGTGGCAACAATTCAAACAATGGAACGTTTTGTGTAAAACAGTATTTCCAAGAACTTTACTAAATATTGCTGGTGTAATTTCTCAGTCATCAAGAATGTGGGAAATCCAAAGAATCCAAAAATGGACTGTAAAAAACTAAGCTTTTACAATGTATGTGAAATGACATCTGGAAATGTTAATGTTTATTGGGACAAATAGACAAAAAAAATTGATTAACGTAGAAATACTGTAATTTCATGCAGCTGAGTCATGGAAACCATAGCAAATCCATGCAAACGAGCAATTTGATTTTGTTTATTCACCCCAATAAACATAAAAAACCCACAAATGTTGTCAGAGGTCCAATAATTCTCAGTCAGATCATCTGGACAGTTTCTTTTTTATAAAGACGTTTCACCCTCTTTCCGGAGGGCTTCATCAGTCAGAGGAGTTCCAGTAACTTGTTTCCCCACCAAGCAGTAAACTCCTTAAGTGGACCTACTCCTCCCAGGCAGGCAGCCACAGCCAAAGTGGTTCAAAGCAACAACGTTCATGCACAATCATCCCGGTACCAAATCCAATAATTCTCAGTTGGGTCATCTGGACAGTTTCTTTTTTTATAGACGTTTCACCCTCTATCCGGAGGGCTTCATCAGCCAGAGGAGTTCCAGTAAATTGTTTTCCCACCAAGCAGTAAACTCTTTAAGTGAACCAACCAGTTTGCTGGAGCTAAGAAACAGTTTACTGGAATGCCTCTGACTGATGAAGCCCTCCGGATAGAGTGTGAAACGTTTTTATAAAAAAGAAACTGTCCAGATGACCCGACTGAGAATTATTGGATTTGGTACCTGAATGATTGAGCATGAACTTTGTTGTCAGAGTTCATTTCACAAACAACTTCAAAGCGCAGAATTCCGCACGCAGTTTAGATTTGAGAAAACTCCCTGGATGGAGGGCAAAACATCTTAAACTACAGATTAGAAGTTCAGTTGTTTTGCTTTTGTAACCATTTTTTTTTTTGGACAAAAATGGGTTGAGTTTAGAATGTCTATGATAACGTGATATTTATGCATGTGTAATTTACACACTGTTTTAGGGTGTTTTCACACCTGATAGTCCGGTAGACTCGGTTTGATTGGGGACTAAAATTGGAACATTGGTTTACATTTTTAGCTGGTGCGGTTCACATTCACTGTCAATCGAGCCAACCTGTGGTGGCGCTGCACCAAGAACTACTGAAAGAAACGGAAAAGAAAAAACCTCTGAAGAAGACACTGAGAACAACTTACTTCTTCTGGAAATATAAACAAAAATGGAATGGCTTCAAATGCTAGTGTTTTTAGGATTTCTGTTTTGTCTGTGGCACATGTGCCACACAAACATTTTGCATCAATGGACTCAGCATGAACAGAAGATGAGGCTGAAGACCATGGAGAATGTTGTTTTTCACTCAAGGCGGCTGAGAAGGCTCCATATAAAGTGGCCTGCAATGAGTAGGAGCAGTGAGTAGTTGGTTGTATTTACCCAGAATGCCCTGCACCGTAGTCCACTTTCTGCTTTTGGAGCTGTCTCCGGTCCGCATGCATCCACGTATGCATTTGAGCCGTGCTAGAGTTCACCTCAACCGAACCGAGACCTAGACTTTTAGGCAGACTAGAGATCGCTTTTTTGGTCCGAGTCAGAGTTTGAGTGCACATTCACACCTCCCCAAACGGACTAGAGTTCGATTAAAGTGGACCAAAGAGGGCTGGTGTGAATGCACAAATTTATAATCATTAGATATATTTTAAATGCACAAGATATTCATAGCCTCGGCTCCATTACAGTCATAAAGACAAGTTGGGCAGCTGTGGCTGAGTGGTTAGAGCAATCGTCCTCCAATGGGAGAGGTGGGGGCTCGATTCCACCAGCAGTCACATGTTTAAGTGTCTCTGGGCCAGACACTGAACCCCTCATTGCCTCCGATGTGTATCCCATCAGTTTACGAATGTGAAAAAGCTCTGATTAATATTTGTGTAGTGTCTATATGTCTATATTTTTGATTTACTTCATTTTGTATATTGCTTTATGTGTTACCTGTTGTTCTGTCTGTACAGCACTTTGGTTGGCCTTGTAGCTGTTTTAAGTGTTTTATAAATTAAGTGGTATGGTATAGAGTGCGGCAGCACGGTGGCGCAACTGGTAGAGCTGCTGCCTCTCAGCGAGCAGGTCCCTGGTTCAAACCCCGGTCCAGGGGCCTTTCTGGGTGGAGTTTGCATGTTCTCTCCGTGCATGCGTGGGTTTTCTCCGGGTACTCCGATTTCCTCCCACAGTCCAAAAACATGCATGTTAGGCTGATTGGTAACTCTAAATTGTCCCTAGGTGTGAGTGAGAGAGTGAATGTTTGTTTGTCTCGTTTGTCTCTATGTGGCCCTGTGATGGACTTGCGACCCGTCCAGGGTGTACCCCGCCCCTCGCTCAGTGATTGCTGGACATGGGCACCAGCGACCCCCGTGACCCAAAATGGAATAAGCGGGTAAAGAAAATGGATGGATGGATGGATGGTATAGAGTGCTCTATGAATGAGTAAATAAGGACACAGATTGTGTTGTAAAGCACTTTGAGTATCTTGATAAAATAGAAAGGTGCTACATAAGTACAGACCATTTACCATTTACAAAGTTATTGCAGTAATTGAATATACATTTTAGGGTGATGTTGGATCTCACCTGCGTCCTCATCATTGTTTGACTGCTCCTGGTTTTCCACAGTTTCATCAGGCTCAAAACCTTGGTTAACTGTGGAATCAACAGTATATTATTAGTTTCAAATGTATGTGTCGACTTGTGGTTGAGCATAGAGGGAAATATATTTTATTGTTGCAAACCTTCACATTCTAAGTCATCAGCGATATCCAGTCCACCTGTCATCCTCAAGATGCACAAATTGTAGTTTGAATCAAATGTGTCACTGGAGAAAGAAATAGAGAGAGAAAACTCAATTTAAAACATTTTTTTTTCTTTCCAAAATTGGGGTAAATAGTTTTTTTGTGTGTGTGTGTGTGTGTGTTTGTCTCATTTGTGTGTGTTTTACTAAATAGTCACTAACATTTTTATTAGTAATAACAATAACTGCAGTTTAAATTGCACAATAAATCCAGACTGATTTGTTCTGCCTCAAACTTGTCCTAAATGCCGACAAAACCAAAGGGATGCTTTTTTCAAATAGGAAATTGGTCCCAGCAGTTCTTCCTCTGATCTCATCCTCAAATGGTGTCCCCATTGAGTTTGTTTATTCCTATAAATATTTGGGTATCTTGGTCAGTTCGCATCTCTCTTTTAAGCTCCATGTGGAAAACTTGGTAAAGAAACTGAAAGTTAAACTGGGTTTCTTTTTCAGAAACAGATCCTGTCTAACTCTGAATGCTAGAAAATGCCTTGTGTCTGTGACTTTCCTTCCCTCTATTGATTACGGTGACATTATTTACATGAACGCTCCTACAAGAACCCTGCAGATGTTGGATGCTGTCTATCATGGTGCACTAAGATTCATAACTGGCTGTGGTTATCGTACCCACCACTGCACCCTGTATTCACTGGTTAACTGGACATCATTAATTTCAAGCAGACTCTCTCACTGGTACATTTTCATATTTAAATCACTTCTTGGTCTGCTGCCTTCATACATCTCCTACTACATGTCTCTGCATGAGTGCAGCTACAGTGTGCGCTCTCAGGACATTATTACCTGCAGTGTTCCCTCAGTGCGAACTGAACTAGGCAAAAGGGCCTTCTCCTACTCCGCTCCTGTTTCCTGGAATATCTTGCAAAAAGATTTGAAGCTCTCGACCTTGACCTCTCTAAGTGTCTTTAAGAATCTGTTGGACTCCTGGCAGGGACCAATGCAGACATGTTCCTGTCTTTACTTTTCTACATTCCCTTTAGAATCTAGCTGTTTTTATGTTGCTTTTCTTTTTTTAGCCATCCTATTTGCAAAAAAAATAAAAAATCTCTATGACTTTTTATAACTGTTTATTGTTGTTGCCGTTGTCCATTGTTGTCATCATTCTTTGTTGAAATCAGGTCTCTCTTGTAAATGAGTCCTCGAGGCTCAATGGGATTTACCTGTCTAAATAAAGGTTGAATGAATGAATGAATGAATGAAAAAGTTAACAACTTACTAAATGGTGTTGATATAATCCTCAATGCTTTCAGGAGTACTCTCCCCCCAGTTTCCCTTAAAGCCCAGAACCAAGGTGTTGGGTTTCAATTTGCCAAGACCAGACGCCTTTAAAAGGGAGAATGGAAATAAATAAATAAATAAAAACAATAAATGAGATACATGGAGACATTTTTGTTAGTATACAGTACAAAAAGTCACAAGTCCTATAATGAAACTTCAAATGATTTAAATTACAGCATTATTTTCCAGGGAGCTAATGTTCTTAGCACTGTTGGCTTGTTTGTTAATTCAAATGTAGTTTTAACCAATTAAATGAAATGTCTAAGGCTCTCAGTGGGGTTTTGTGTGTGTGTGTGTGTGCTAGTCAACTTTGCAAGTACAAAGTAGATTGAATTTTGGAAACCCCTAGGCAAAAGCTAAAAACTGCAAATGCTAAGATGAAATGCTATGAGGGAAAAATGATATTTCAGTTAAAACTGACATAATTAAATAGCTTGAGCTTTTATTATGAACCAAGAAAAAACTGGACAACAACACATAAGTGGATTGGATGGCAAAGTCCTCATTGATTCATGACATCTTGCTGACCATAGCTGGGGGAGACACAAACAGATAAAAAAAAAATCTAAAATAAATGCAACATCTTGTATAATGTACCTGTAACAAGTTTTTAGCTCCCGCTCTGAGACTTTCAGCAGAAAGTGGAGCATAAAACGACCGCACCTTCCTCGTGTTCAGCCAGTTTACCATGCTCTCTGTAGGATCATCAGACCTTGTTGTCTTGTCCTGCTCCTACAAGAGTCCAGAATTTAACCCGCTCTTTAATGACTAATAAAATAAGTAATAACAGCCTTCTATCATAAAGTTATGGCCCAAATAACGCTTGTTTCCTTTCTAAAACAGCCATGATCAAAACTCGTACCAATATGATGTCTCCACAGATCATGAGACTGATGCGTTTAGTGAAGGAGCCAACAAAGTCCACCAAAGCAGGTCGCTGGTTTGGGGGTCCAGTCAGGACAAGGCACTGTGGCCTGACAGAAAACACAGGTCAACAGTTAGTACTGTACAATTTGTAGTTAATTGTTGTTAATGATTGTAGAAAATGCAAAGTACAATAATAAATGAATAGTCAATTAAAATATTTATTGATAGAAATATACATCTGTGACTGGCTGTAGGTCTATTTATTCCCTGACAGATTGCCAATAAAATATAATTAATTTATATTTAGGTTATTTGTTTTCAATCAGTAGTAGACTAACCTGTAATTCTTGACGTGATCCTTTACACCCGTCAGAGAGATAGAGGATGCTAAGGCCATACTGTATGTTCCCGCTTGGACTGACGAACCCCAATTCAAATCTGTGACATGAGACAGATGTTTAGGAAGGAAGCATGCCGTAAATTACACTTTCTTACTGTTTGATCCAATGCAGACAGTGTCACAGTCTCTTGTAAAAATTTCCAGAACCAACAAAAAAGGCTCTACTTCTATGCAAAAAAAGATCTACTGAACCTTAAAACCCAGTTTCTGCAAAAATATGCAATTTGTCATTGCACTTGGACTTCTGTGTACTTCCCAAAATTCTGCTCTCAAGCAGATTTTCCCAAATTTCCACACTGAGGGACAATAAAGGTTATTTCTATTCTATTATATTTTACACTTTGTAAATTCTTTCTATCATAGACTTAATTCTTTAGTCATTAAAAAAGTAACAATGGGGCCGTGAGCTGGAATCAGCTGGTTTCACTTGTTCAGTGTAATTGACCCTCTGGCAGCCAATTTTGCATTTTCATGAAAAACGACAACCTCCAGTAAAAATCAAGCAGTGCCAGTCCTGCCTGTTCGGATCATTGTCCGCACATTCAGATCCGCATGACAAACATGGATTGTTGAACGGTACTGCCCCATGACAGAATATAAGTAATAAACTAAGGATGAATCCAGGGCTTCATTTGTAAACTGATCGATGCTGGAACGCAAATAGTGGGTGGATCGGCTGTGGGGGCGGGGGTCCTGGGGAACATGCATGCTCACAAGACAAAAACCTGACAAGTTGTTAAATGACAAAATATATTTTGTTAGCAAAGAATAGAGTCCTAACATTTATTAAACATTACTTCCGTATTTACAAAAAAATAAAAAATAATTCTAAATTATGCTTTGACAAACTCATCGATAAAACTAAAACATTTTGTCAACACAAAAGAGGTCACTCTCACTTTGACTTTGTACTCGTTGTTGCATGTGTGCTGTGTGTGACAAGCGTCCAGATCATCATAACAACAGCAGCGGAGGTGTCAGAGTTATTTATTTATCGTCTCAACAGCAGAGGGGAGTGACACGGTTCAAGAATGGCTCCCAAAACGACAAGGCAGTCATGTTTGTTCATAACTTTATTAATAGCGAGCCTGAGAGTTGCCGGATCCAAGCAAACAGTTTCCGTAACGCACCCTGACAAAATAAGGGAGTTCCCGGATCTTGCTTTGGCAAGATCTGGTTCAAATTAAGCCCTGGATGAATTGATAAAAAATATTTTATATCCCTCTTAAAACTGACAAATGAGTTGAAAAAGACAAAGAACAAAACAATACACAGCAAGCTCAGTAATAAGTAATTTACATTATTTATTAGGAGGAACTACTTTGTGGGGCAAATGATTTTTTTAGGTGGGGCTACACCCAACCTGCCCCTATGAACCTGCCGTCTCTGCACACACAGCACAATCTCTGAAACCACATTGGTTTTAAATGAATTTTTCATGTCATTAGACAGGAAAAAGTACTGTGCTCCCCTGCCATTTGTACTAACATCACAAAAGCTTCTGACACTGTTGACCATGATTTACTTTTAGGTTCCTTACATAAGATTGGTTTTAGCAATAATGTAATGCTATGGACCCAGAACTGTCTCTCTGGTAGGAAATAAAGATGCACTGATGCCGATACTGGTATCGGCATCAGTACCGACATCGGGAAAAAACTTCTGGATCGGGTATCGGTGACAATGTAACCGATCCATGACTGGGCAGATCTATTCACTCTAATTCTATGCTTTGTGCTCTGAATGACGTCACGCGCTAGCGTACTGACTGAACAAATTAAAGTTGTGTTAAACTTTAATCAAATAAGTGAACAAAGAGATAAAAAATGTGACATGTGGTTAATGAGGGATCTGTCCTTAAATGGTCGAGTGTCGTTATCAAAGGCAGAAGGCATCTCCAGATCTGTTCATGTATCCTTATCACTTGATATGCCCAAAAAGATTTAAAAAAAAAATAGATCAAACATTATTAAATTTCATATGAAAAAATAGAAACCAGTATCTGAAGAAAGATATTTTATGCAATTCTAGGAAATATGGTGGTCTAGAAGTTTTAACTTATGAAACATTAAACAACTTATTTAAAGTGAAATGGCTAAACAAGTTGATATATAATAATGAATCAATATGAAATACTTTTCCCAATTATATTTCTAATCTTTTGGGTGGGCTTGAATTTTTACTTAAGTGCGATTATAAAATTGAGAAACTCCCAGTAAAACTGTCAAACTTACATAAACAAGCTCTTCTAGCCTGGAAACATATTTACAAACATAACTTTTCTCCTACTAGTTGCTACTGTATATCTGGAATAATGGGAACATATTATATAAGAATAAATCACTTTTTTTATAGAAACTGGATGGAACATGGTATCACAATGGTTAAACAGTTGTTTAATGATGAAGGGAATCTCCTTTCTTACAAATATTTTTTATGCAAATTTAATTTGCCTGCTACATGAGGAGAATATGCAATAGTTTTTTTTTTCTGTACTACCTAATGGAATGGTGCAACTCTACCGAGGTGCAACTACGCACACTAATGATCTACTGATCTACCTAAAAATGGGTAATGGATTGGAGATGTTGATATCACCAAAAAGAAATGCCCCAATAAAATTATAAGATCACATCTACAAAAGATAGCTCTTCCCTCTGGCAGGTCCTTCTCTATATGGTGAATTTGATTGGAACCTAGCTTTGTTGATTGGAGAAAAATACTCTATGAACTACAAGGTAAAGGAGATTCCCTTCAAAATTTTACACAACATTTATCCAGCAAAAAAGACATTTGAATGATTTAAGTTTGTAACTGACTGCTCTTGTTCTTTCTGTGAATCCAACGTTTAACAATTTCACATTTATTTTTTCAATGTGCATACAGTAATATATTCTGGACTGACTTACAACACTATATACAACATAAAACCAGGCAAAGAATCACCTTTGATGAAAGAGACATTATATATTTTTTTATAATAAAGATATGGACAAAGACACAGCCCATTTTATACAACTGCTATTGCTCCTCGGGAAATATCACATTCATAAAGCCAAATGGTCCAACTCCAAACCAAACATTGGATACTTCCTCCAATAACTGTTTAATTGTGACTAAAATATCAAATACATCCCCAACAAGAAAGCTATCTATACAAAGACAATTCTTGACAAATTCAACATTCATGACCCATCTACTTGACAACCTCTGTATATTACTGTGTCATGTTCCCCCTGGCAATCTGTTTATATTATTAATGTTGATGTCTGGTTAACAACCAGATTTTTGTACGCCTATAATTTTCAATAAAGATTAAAAAAATAATAATAATAATTTAAGTTGTTGTCTTCACATGTTTGACCAAGCTTGTGAAGCTCTTGGTGTGTTTAAGTGTGCTGTTATGGTGCAGAGTTTTCAAAAAATTTGTAATTCAGTACATTCATGTCTACGTTTAACAAAACAAATATTTAAGTTAATTCAGCACTGGGTTTGTAAGCGCAATCATCCAGGTAGACAACAAAAATGGCTAAAACATGCCATCTGGACCCATTTCTGAAACAGGTCCAGATTACATGTTTTAGCCATTTTTGTTAATTCAGCACTGTTTTTTCTGTATCAGATCGGTATCTGATCGGTATTGGTCGATACTAAACCTCAGATATCGGGATCAGATTGGAAGTGAAAAAAGTGGATTGGTGCATCCCTAGTAGGAAACAGTCTTTGGCTCTGGGTAGCCATACATTTTACCCAGAAACTTAAAGCCTATAACTAATAGAGTCTCACTGGACTCAGTCCTGAGTCCAGTTTTGTTGTGTCAAATGAGAGTTTTGACTTTTCAGCTGTATCTCATTTTAACTCATTTTCCTTTAAACCATTAGTTTGAAACAAACAATTTCCAATGTATATACTGTATATATATATATATATTCTATCCATCCATCTTCTACCATTTATCTGTAGTCAGGTTGCAGAGGCAAAATAGACAAGAGAGAAACCCAGACATTCCTCTTTTCAGCATCACTTCCCAATTCATCTTGGGGGACCTGGAGGTACTTCCATTCCAGGGAAGATTCAGAATTCATTGAGCAACTTCTGGGTCTTCCCCAGGGCTTTCTACCAGTGGGATATGTCTGGAAAACCTCTACAGGGAGGCATCCTATTCAAATGCATGAAATTCATCTGCAAATGATTCCATTTGATGCGAAGAAGCAGCGGCTCTATTTAGAGCTCCCTCCAGATGACGGAGCGCCTCATCCTATCTCTAGGGCTAAGCGCTGTCACTCTGCAAAGGAAGCCCATTTCATCCGCTTATATCTGAGATCACTTTTGGTCATGATGCAAACCTCATGACTATAGGTGAGATCTGACTATAGATGTGGGTCGTAACATAGACAGACCAGTAAATCAAGATCTTTTCCTTTCAACTCAGTTTTTTCTTCACTATGACTAGCCAAAGCAACAGAGGGTGAGGCCCCAATCCATCATTCCATCTCCTGTTCTATTCTACCATTACTCATGAACAAGACCCCCTAATACTTAAACTCCTCCATCTGAGGCAAAGTTTGCCCCCAAATTCAGAGGTGGTATTCCACACATTTCCAGTTGAGAACCTTGGCCTCAGACTTAGAGGAACTGACTCTAATTTCAGCCCCTTCATACTCAGCTGCGAACTGTCCCCGTGCATGCTAAAGGTCTTGCCTGAAGATGCCTGCTAAACTATAACATCAGCATAAAGCAGAGATGAAAACCTAAGGCTCCCAAACCAGACACCCTCCTGACTGCACCTTGAGATCCTGTCCATTACCACCACAAACAGGATTGGAAACAAGAGACGGCCATGGTGGATTTCAACCCACACTGATAACAAGCTGGACATTATTCCAATAATCCAGACACAACTCCTGCTTTGGTTATACATGGACAAGATGTCCATAAAAAGCAACCCAGGTACCAAGTATTCCCGCAGCATACCTCCGCAGAATGAACACAGTCATAAGCCATCTCCAAGTCCACAAAACACATTTAGGCTAGAGAGGCAAACTCCTGTGATCCCCTTAGCAACTTTACAAAGGTGAAGATCTGGTATACTGTTCTACAACCAGGATGGAAGCTACACTGCTCCTCCTGAATATGAGGTTTGATCATCAGTAGGAGCCTGCCTTCCAACACCCTGGAGTACATTTTCCCAGAGAGGGCGAGAAGTGTGATCCCGTGACAGTTGGAACAAACAAACCAGTTCCAGTTTTTTACAAATGGTAACCACCACCCCTGTACCTGTATGCCACTCCACAGGTGTTGTCCAGTTCTTCATGCAACATTGAAGAGACATCTCACAGAAAATCTTGTCCACCTCTGGCGCCCTGCCACTAAGAAGCTTATTGACTACCTCTGTAACCTCTGTAATGATAATGGACTCAACTTTCCCTGAGTCCTCAGACGCTGCCTTTTCAAAGGTGGACATGGTGAGTGGATTAAGCAGATCCTCAAAGTGCTCCTTCCGCCACTCAACAATATGCTCACGTCGGGTCAGCAGTTTCCCACCCAAACCAAGCACAGCCTTGGATATAATCCACTTTTCTTTTTTGAGTTGCTGAATGGTTTGCCAGAACTTCATCAAAGCCTATCGAATGTTCTTCTCCATGGCCTTCCCAAATTCCTCCCTCGCCCAAGTTTTTGCATTGTCAACCACCAAAACTACAGTCCTTATGGTCACATTGTACCTGTCAAGTGCTTCAGGAATCGTTTAGGATAGCCAAGTTCTAAATGCTTTCTTCTTCAGCTTGACAGGCTCCATCACTGCTGGTGTCCACTAGCGGGTCTTTTGGTTGCTGCCCTGACAGACACAAATGATAATCTGGGCACAGATTCTGGAAGCTGCATCTGCAACAGTAGCCCTGAACACTCAGTGCCCTGAGATCAATTCTGTTGTGACTTGGCACTAAATAAAAAAATGAACTTTACTGAATTACATGTTCCCAACCTCCCTTGGGACATGTGAAAAACTATCCCAAAGGTGTAAGCTGAAGGTCACACAGACCAGGGATTCCACCAGACATTCCCAGTTCATCCTCTCTGTGCATTTAGGTTTACCAGGTCTGTCTAGTAGCCTCCCCTGTCACCAGATCTGACTCACCACCAAATGATGTTCAGTTTACTCTCTCTTCATCCAAGTGTCCAAGATATAGGATCACAGGCCAATGACACAAATACAAAATCAAATCATCAACCTTTGGTCTAAGGTGGCCTGGTACCAAGTACACTTTTGAACCAAACTATGCTCAAAAATAGTGTTTATTATGGGCAACCCATGCCTACCATAGAAGTCCAATAAGCAAAAACCATTTGAGTCCAGGACAGGGAGGCCATTCTTCCTATTTACCTCTATCTGGATGACTCTTTCATAGCCCACAAGGGCATTAAAGTCACCCAGTAGCATCCCCAAATGGCATCCCTTCCAGGACACCATCCAGAGATTCCAGAAAGGCCGGATAATCTTAACTGATGTTTAGTGCATAAACATAAACAACAGTCAGAACCTTTCTTCCTTCAGCCCGAGGCAACCCTCTTATTAACCGGGGGAAACTCCAATATTGAGGCATTCAGCCGGAGGCATGTGAGTATGCCCACACCAGGCTGATGCCTCTCTCCCTGGGCAACTTCAGAGAAGGAGAAAGTCCAGCATCTCTCCAGGAGTGGGGTTCTAGAGCACATGCTGTATGTAGAGGTGAGCCCAACATTTTTATTTATTTATTTGGTACCACTCTACCTCACACACAAGCTCCAGTTGCCTACCTGCCAGTGAGGGGGATGTTCCACACCCCTAGAGTTAGTATATGCCACTAGGAATCTGCATAGCCAGGGACACTTCCTCACCTGCCACTTGGCATCCACAGACAGACCTCCCCACAGATGGTGGGTCCAAGTGGAGGTGGCTTCCTTTTATTTCTTCAAGTTTGGCTGAGGCCCAGGAGTCAAGGCTCCATCACTAGGTGCTCGTCGGGGTGCTCCCCCAGGCCTGACTCCAGGAAGGTGTCCCTGTTTCCCTTTTCCGGGTGAGGTTTCCTGATGCATGTGTTGTTTATCCGATAAGGTTGTAATACTATTCATAATAATAATAACAACAGCAACAGCAATATAATAATAACAACAATAAAAGCAATATAATAATAATTATAATTGATAAATAAAAAATGTACAGCATTTCAAATTATGATAGTAGATAATTATATTTAATTATTTACAGAATTTATTTATTTTTTCGAGTTATGGACTCACTGGGTTTGGTGTAGCTGACATATGCGTAGAGGGAAATGATTATAGCGAAGGTGACGAGGGCAGCCCACCAAGTGAACAGAAACATCAGAGCCACTGAGACCACTGTCCCATACAGTGATGCCCATTTGCTGTAGTAGTGGAAAGATGGCCTCCACCCTAATAGAAACAATTATGACAGACAGAGGACATATAATTTAACAACTTTGCTTTAAAAATGCATACATTTAACTGTTATAGTAGGCACTACTCCCTTGTAGTGTCTGCAGGATAATCCAATAGTAAGCTAGTAGATTATTTTCATTCTGACCATAGTAAATAAGCTTTTGAAAGCTGAAATCTGAAACCAACTTAGTGAAAAGTTGTTTTGACTCATTTGACATGGATGGCTTCCTTATAATTTGTTCTGTTTAGCAGATACTTGTTTTTTTTTTTGTTTGTTTGTTTTTTTGCTGCACTAATATAATATATACACAAAGTAACACATAAGTAAGTAATAAAGAAACTAACCAGGGGAATTTGTGATAGAAGCATGAAAGCAACTGAAGTTTATAAGGCCATAGGAGCACAGGAAGAAGTTTGAAATCAGAGCTGCAATGGTGTTCAACTCAGCTGTGATGAGAAAAAGAAAAACAAAGAAACATAAATATATTAATTAAAATTCATAATGTGAAGTAAATTAATGAAAGTGCTTTAAATAAAAAAAAAATGTAAAAGTAAAAAAAAAAAACAGTTTGTAAATTACTGGACGCACCGATGACAATGAAGATCACAGCAATGATATAACAGAGACAATATGCTCGGAGGGGTTCATTATTTTTCCCATAACCCTTTGCAAAGAAAAAAATGTACGGGTATATTTTGTCCTTGCACAGACACTGAAAAAAAGAGGAAAAATAAGCACAAGTTACAAATCAATGGGTGGATTTACTTATTGTTTGTCTGTAAATTGCATGATAATAAAAAATATTACTCTGCTCAAATAATCTATGTTCAATTATCCTGAGCAAGCAGGAACATAGAAAGCCAATAATGTGTAAATTTATTGAAAACCTACAGACATTACATGCTGCAGATAAACAGTACTCAATTTAAAAAGAATGTTTAACATTTATGACAATCCAACAACAAAAAATTGCCTATGCCATTATGACTTTATTCTGAACAGATGTATATGCCAACTGTTTTATTTATTTGTTTTTCCTCCAAAATTCTTATTTAATTTAAAGCTCAATTAAAACAAGAGGGCAGCACGGTGGCGCAACTGGTAGAGCTGCTGCCTCTCAGCAAACAGGTCCCTGGTTCAAACCCCGGTCCAGGGGCCTTCTGGGTGGAGTTTGCATGTTCTCTCCGTGCATGAATGGGTTTTCTCCGGGTGCTCCGGTTTCCTCCCACAGACCAAAAACATGCATGTTAGGCTGATTGGTAACTCTAAATTGTCCCTAGGTCCCCCCGTGACCCAAAATGGAATAAACGGGTAAAGATAATGGATGGATGGATGGATGGAATTAAAACAAGAAACAGGTTATTACAACCGCGTCTCACCTGAAAAATTTTTGGTGCAGAGACCATGAATCCAAGAGCAGAAGACAAGCTGGCTGCAAAGATACCAGCACTGATGAAGTAGTAATAACCAGAAATCTGCCCCATTACCTGGTTGGAAAAAATTATTGTGCAGAATTGACCAAACTGAACTGAAGTCATTGCTCAAATGAAACCTTTGCTTGGTACAATAGTTTTATGATCAAACAATATAAACACAATTTAAAGAAAACATTTATGAATTGAAAATGTATACCTACATTCACGTTGTTGGCCAGACCATATTTACAGGACTGGGACTGGATGCAGTCTGTGAAGTTCCAGCCCATATTACATGCCAGTCCCACACAACCACCAGTGCTGTTTCCAGTAATGATGTCACTTTTGTTCCCAGAAGCATCCCGTACAACACACCCAGCTGGAAGAAAACACCAGGAGCCTCATGTAGCAATGATGTGTATGCACAAAACGGTTGCATGCGTCAGGTTTGTCAAGATGTATCAAAATGAATATTGCATGAGAGTGTGCATAACAATAGGCAAACTTTTCATGTACCCTGAGATTGTGCTCACTTGTATGCAAACTTTTCATTGACAGTATCAAAGTAAAAGGACTGCATTGCACCTAAATACACCAAAATATGACTTTATACGGTTTTCTAAACCTAAGGGATATTTTAACCTGATTTTGAACATTTGTGGTTTAAAATGAATCATGAACTAAATCACACCTCATTTTATATACAGTATGTACAGGTCCTTCTAAAAAAATTAGCATATTGTGATAAAGATCATTATTTTCCATAATGTAATGATAAAAATTAAACTTTCATATATTTCAGATTCATTGAACACCAACTGAAATATTTCAGGTCTTTAATTGTTTTAATACTGATGATTATGGCATACAGCTCATGAAAACCCAAAATGCCTGTCCCAAAAAATTAGCATATCATGAAAAGGTTCTCTAAACAAGCTATTAACCTAACCATCTGAATCAATGACGTAACTCTAAACACCTGCAAAAGATTCCTGAGGCTTTTAAAAACTCCCAGCCTTGTTCATTACTCAAAACCGCAATCATGGGTAAGACTGTCGACCTGACTGCTGTCCAGAAGGCCATCATTGACACCCTCAAGCAAGAGGGTAAGACACAGAAAGAAATTGCTGAATGAATAGGCTGTTCCCAGAGTGCTGTATCAAGGCACCTCAGTGGGAAATCTGTGGGAAGGGAAAAGTGTGGCAGAAAACGCTGCACAACGAGAAGAGGTGACCGGACCCTGAGGAGGATTGTGGAGAAGGGCTGATTCCAGACCTTGGGGGTCCTGCGGAAGCAGTGGACTGAGTCTGGAGTAGAAACATCCAGAGCCACCGTGCACAGGCGTGTGCAGGAAATGGGCTACAGGTGCCGCATTCCCCAGGTCAAGCCACTCTTGAACAAGAGACTGCATCAGAAGCATCTCGCCTGGGACTGCTGCTGAGTGGTCCAAAGTTATGTTCTCTGATTACAGTAAATTTTGCATTTCCTTTGGAAATCAAGGTCTGGAGGAAGAGAGGAGACACAGAATTAATATTGCTTGAGGTCCAGTGTCAAGTTTCCACAGTCACTGGGGTGTCATGTCAGCTGCTGGTGTTGGTCCACTGTGTTTTATCAAGCGCAGGGTCAATGCAGCTAGCTATCAGGAGATTTTGGAGCACTTCATGTTTCCATCTGCTGAAAAGCTTTATGGAGAAGAAGATTTCATTTTTCAGCACGACCTGGCACCTGCTCACAGTGCCAAAACCACTGGTAAATGTTTTACTGACCATGGTATTACTGTGCTCAATTGGCCTGCCAACTCTCCTGACCTGAACCACATAGAGAACCTGTGGGATATTGGGAAGAGAAAGTTGTGAAATGCAAGACCCAACACTCTGGATGAGCTTAAGGCCGCTATCGAAGCATCCTGGGCCTCCATAACACCTCAGCAGTGCCACAGGCTGATTGCCTCCATGCCACGCCTCATTGAAGCAGTCATTCATGCAAAAGGATTCCCGACCAAGTATTGAGTGCATAACTGAACATGATTATTTAAAGGTTGGCGTTTTTTGTATTAAAAACACTTGTCTTTCATTGGTGGGATGAAATATGCAAATTTTTTGGGACAGGCATTTTGGGTTTTCATGAGCTGGATGCCATAATCATCAGTATTAAAACAATTAAAGACCTGAAATATTTCAGTTGGTGTGCAATGAATCTGAAATATATGAAAGTTTCATTTTTATCATTACATTATGGAAAATAATGACCTTTATCACAATATGCTAATTTTTTGAGAAGGACCTGTATACATAATATTTAACAGACTGATGAGACACAGAAATTGAATGTTAATTGTCTAAGGGGCACTTCCTTTCTCACTGAAAAGCAAACAGTATCGGATCAGCATGTTAATTCAGAACAATTCTTGTGGGATTATTCCTAAGGTCAACAAGGTATATACAGTGACACATGGACATTATTAGCCTTGATGTTGCCTGTAATTAAGGAAGAATGTCACCTTTGGTGCTGTTGTAGGACAATGCCAAAACACAAATTTAGAGGTAGTGTATTGTCATGGATCACACCATTCTGAAGGCACATGATGATGTTCGGCTTATTATCTGATCTACAGATCTTTTGGAACACTGCACTGAACTGGCCCCAGTGTTATAAAGGAAAATTAAGAAGGCTTGCAGGTGCCAGTTAAAGTCCTCACCATGCTGAGGTTCCTTGCAAACTGTGTTTAAGAGAACAGGATGACAGGTCAGGTATTTCACAGTCGGTCCCGAGTCGTCCCATGCTAGCTCTATAGGATGGCCTCTTCTGTATGATGCCCATAAATACCCAGTTCCCCTGCGCCAGGGGTGCCCAGTACGTCGATCATAATCTACCGGTCAATCGCAAAGGTAATATGAGCAGATTGCATAGGATTACAAAAAAAGACGTCAGCGTATCATCCATCCTCACACTGAAATTTACCACTTGATTGACCTTTTCTGGCACATGGGTCACCACGCATGCACATACAACCATGCAAAAAACTAGCAAGCTACCGAGTTGCCTAGTTAGCCTCCAATTTAGCATTTTTAAATGATCTGACCAACATGTTGAATGACCTTAATGTAGAGCTGTAAGGAAAAGACAAAGCCATGATCGATAAGATCAGCTCAGTGCAACATCTCTCCTTAAAGCTGCAACGCCATGACTTGGCAAACTTCCAAGAACCTCACGTCAGAGCTGGAGACGCAAGAAAAGGCATGTGTTCAACTTGATCGTGCACACTACACAGAGCAGACTGAGAACTGTCTGTCAGAGTTTGACAAACGCTTCCAAGATCTGTTTTACTGGAGCCAATCACTACATTCATGTGCCACCCTTTTCAGGAAGATGTTGAGGTTGCTTCACTGTCATCATAGATTGAAACGTTTCACCTAAACTTTTCCAGAGTGGAGGATGAGATTTTGACACTACAAGCTGACATTCAGCTTAAGGCCAGGGTTCATGGACAGTTCTGGAATTTACTCACAGAGGAAAAATACCCAACATGAGGAAACGTGTTTCCTCCTTGACTGCATTATTTATGTGAGTCAGCCTTTTCCCACATCAAGATTATTAAGTCCAAATACTGTTCCACCATGACAGGGGATCATTTGGAAGTGTGCTTGAGGCTGATTATCAGCAGCTACTGTCTGGACTACGCATCCCTGGCTGATTCCATTCAGTGCACGTCATCAGAGTAAGGTAATGGCAAAAAATGTAAAGTTGTATTGTGCAACATAGGTTCATGCAGTTATGCAAAGTACATCAAACATATATTGTACAAATAAATAATACTTAACATGTTTATAAATAAGTAGATGTTTTGTATTTTTGCAGTAGATAGATCACTTTGACTTGGTCATTTTATATGTAGTTTGCAGGCACCCCTGCAAAGCAATCCATTTCTTGACATCTAGACATTATATATATATATATATATATATATAT